CGCGTGCAAGTCAGATGCTGGATATGATTCTCTTCAGGATCTTCACACTCCTGAATTTCTCAATGGGATCAAGTGCTCTGGACTTCCGAATCATAAACTGCACCTTAAAGTTGGCACTCCAGTGATGCTTCTTAGAAACATTGATCACTCCATGGGGTTGTGTAACGGTAATGTTCATCAAAATTCATTTGTCGTCTATCTTTCTTTTTATCATTGTACAAATTTGAGTGATATTCTTTTGTTTCCGAGTTTTGATGTCAACAGGTACACGGTTGGTTATCACTAAGCTCAGCAGCCATGTCCTTGAATGCAAGATTTTAACTGGTGCCAGAGCTGGTGACAAGGTTCTTATTCCTAGGCTCACAATCATACCATCCGATTTGAGGGTACCGTTCAAATTTCAACGCAGACAATTTCCGCTCATGGTTTCATATGCTATGACTATCAACAAGAGTCAAGGCCAGTCACTTTCACACGTCGGCTTACTATTGAAGAACCCTGTCTTCAGTCATGGACAGTTGTATGTGGTACTATCTAGAGTCACGAATCGGAGGGGTCTGAAGATAATGATCTGTGGTGATGGAGATTTTGATGATAGGAAAACTACGAACGTTGTATATAAAGAAGTGTTTAATAATATTTAGATTTAGATTTTTGTTGTTGAACCCGAGTTATCAATGACCATGTTATTATTTTTACTATTGTTTTCATTTTTTATTTTTTCCTTTATCATATAGCTTTCCGTGCAAATGCACGGGTAAAAAACTAGTTATTGTTATAATAGAAGTACTGCACTGTTTGGGAAGAATAGTAGATCAACTTCTGGCGTTCGTAGCCCTATGAAAAAATTGGTCTTCTGGTTCTAATAATGCAACTTGAACGCGCAAAATAATATTGTTGTTAGTTGCACCTGTGATTAATTAATTATTTACTCATCTTATTTGTTGTCTTCAATCTTTTTATTTTTCTTTTTGATATAAAAGTATACGTAAAATCCAAGTAACAACCTCATTGAATGTGACCAAGCTGATTGCACACGACTTCGTGCCAGAGATCATTGACTTTGGAGAAGGTCGTATTTAACAAAAAAAAAAAAAAAAATACATAAACTGTTTTTTTATATATTTTTCTTTAATAATTTAATATTTTAATTCAACTTTTTAGGTACAGTATAAAGGAAACTTGGTTGGGAGAAAGTACATTTTCAAAACCAAAATACTGAAATTGATGATTTGGAATATGCTAATATTGTCATTTCTTCGGTTGATTCTCTCTATGAAATTAAGGAGGTAACACCAATAATTCAAGACGAAATAAATTTTATTAGGATTTTGAATTATTTTATCATTTTTTTATACAAGATATTTACAGGAGATCACGTTGAATCCTAGAATGAATATCACTCCATCAGATCTTACAATTTCATTTAAGTTCCAGTTTGTTCCTGAAGAATCCTGTTTATAACTAGTCAATTATATTTTATTGTTTCACGTGTAACTAATATAAGGGAATTTAATATATTAGTTTGTGAGAACGACGAGTTATCAATAATCAAACTTATAATGTTGTGTAAAATGATATTTTAATAATATATGATTTTTTCGTGACGAACGCCTTATGCTTGAATAATTTTTCTACATACTATAACTATTTTATAAATGAATAATGTCAAATTATAATATTCTCTAAATTTATATAGCCGTGCATCGCACGAGATACATACTAGTTAATTTCTAAATGAATTTATAAAAATCACCCCCTTACATTGGCTTCAATCCAACTCAGGAACTTGTCCAATTTTACATTATCATCACCATCACCATAACCATCATCGTCGTCTCGCCTATTTCGAGCAATAGTAACTGGCACAGCAGCTTTCTTTCGCTGTACTCTTCGGGCACCGGCGAGGGAATTGATTTGATTGATGATCTTTCGAGGGCTCTGCTTGGGAGCGGATGGACCCTTTTTTCAGGACAGCTAAAAGAATCCCGAGAATCGAAATGGGATGCGAGTGAATATTGTGCCGCCAAACAGGTGACTGAGGACGGAATTGGGGATTATCTAGGGTTAGGGAGTTGAGGTTGCTTCCATTGGAATTCAGAAATGTGCCCTCTGAGGATTCTGCAGTATATCCTACGGATGATCCATGATGTTTTCTTCTTGGCTCAGAATAATTGTGTGAGTAATCTTATTTTATTTTTAATTTGTATTTTTTTCGGTTTTGTTTCTCTGTTTTGGTTCTCTCTGTGGGTTGTTTAATTATCATGTCTACTTGTGTTTTTTTGGTACAAGAAGTGCCTGATGCCAGGTGATGTCAGATAGAAGTTCTTACAAAATTTGTCCGGTTAGTCCAGTTATCTATCGAACATAGTATATTAATATTGCCACACATATTTCCCTAGTTTCTTGTTGAAATTGCTTTACTTGGTATCTTACTTTTGATCACCTTTATCTTACAATAGTTCCATGGTTGATGGAGAAGGAAGGAACAAAAGGCATCATTACATGGATTGGACAAAGAATCCCTCAATGGTAGGGCACTTTTATGCTTTGAAAACCCACACAAGAAAAGCTAAGAATGACTCCAGGAATGAAGAAAGTTGTTATATTTTTAAGTTCTGACATAAAAGACCAGTAAGGATATACCATTGACTTTGAACCATATAATAGTTAATCAAACCGGACTTTGCAGACGAACGTATTCTAATTTTAGATAAAAATTCACAGGAGAGATTTTAAAAGGACAATTTAGAGATGGAGGAAAACAAGTTGATATTTTTCATAGTTTTTGTGGTTTTGGGATTGTGTGCAGGTAGTAATGATCAACAACCAAGGTGGAGAAAATGGGGGTTATCTCCAAGCAGCAGTCCATCGACAATCACTAAATTCGGGTCATCAATCATATTCCCACTGTATGGCAATGTATATCCCAATGGGTATGTAGATTTCAGCTCCTTTATTTCTTTGAGAAATGGTTGTTTTACTTCTCAGTTGCCTTTTGGAGTTGGTGCAGGTTTTAGTCCGTGAACACATATTTTCGTTTTCTGAAAAGAAAAAACAAATGTAATTGGAATATGTGGTGGATCCTTGAATGAGCAATGGGAGTTTATGTGGAATTATATTGTCAGGAACTCAAAATTACATTATATTACAAGTGTATTTAATTTTTTGGGATGTATGAGCCGGTTGAGTATTCCTTGCAGGTTTTATTTTGTTCAGGTTTACCTGGGATACCCACCAAGGCCTTATTTTCTTGATCCTGACACAGGCAGCGACCTCACGTGGGTACAATGTGATGCCCCTTGTGTTCGTTGTACAGCGGTAAACTTGATCACCATTATGGTGCAGCATAATAACAATTAGAATTTATAATGCAAAAATGGTGAGGATTATTAAAATCTTGTAGTAGAAGGAGAGGGCTATGCTTGAAATACTAGAGATAATAAGAAATTTGGCTGGAAAGCTCGAGAGAAATATGAATCATTGAGGTTTGGAATGATGAATAGAGTGTTGGGAAAAAGTCTTGACTCGGAAACTGTAAATTAACATTCATTGACAAAATTTTATTATTGTTTTCATTTCACCGCTTGTGATATCCGTAAGTTTCTGTGGAATATGTATCTGAACGACATATGATCCCATTAGGCTAATGCAATTAACAAGCTGTCAGATGTGAAGTAAAACAAGTAGACGTATAACATATAATGTGTTTTTATTTTTATTTTTTATTTTTGGCTGTTTATGAGACATCAAGATAAACTCCTTTGTCGTTTTATGGTTTCTTTCTTATGTATCGTTTGCTCAGGAAGTTATTTGGTCAATAACTTGTTTGCCACAATCTTAGGGTACTTGAGTGCAGTGCTTAATTAGGAAATTGACAAAAAAAATTCTATCATTTTTAGGGATTTCATCCGCTTTATCGCCCAAGCAATGACCTTGTTGTGTGTAGAGATCCTCTTTGCGCTTCCCTTCACACGTCCGATTACACTTGTGACAACCCACAACAATGTGATTATGAAGTCGAGTATGCAGATGGAGGCTCATCCCTGGGAGTGCTCGTCAATGATTTCTTTACCCTAAATCTGACCAGTGGGGTCCGTGTGAGTCCTCGTTTGACTATTGGGTTAGTACTTCATCTCGAATTTTTCCAAATGATTTCACTGTATTTGTGTTCTTATCCTGCTATGCCTGAAGTGTCACATTTTTTTAGATGATTTCATATTAGATGCAATGCTCGAAACATATATTAACTTGATTTTTATAATCTGCTTTATTTGCATGACATGTATCTGTGTTTTAACAATGAAAAATAAGAAAAATAAGCAATAATTTCTAGCTGGTTTTGTGTTTTATTACTTTCCATAACTCATTTAACAAGTGTAATCATGGAATATTATCTCATAACAATAGATTACATGAAAAATGAACATGCATAAAATCCGTACTTTATGATTACTTTTTCACAGCGCCTCTTTGAATGTGTCCATTTAATCTGGCTTGTATCATCTTTTGGCACGTGTATGGTTTCCCCACCAATATGAGAGACATGATTAAGCCACTCGTAATAACTCATAGATAATTGAAATTTACATATAAATAAAAGCTGGGGTGGTAGTGACAATTTTTTGGATCAAGTGTTGTTCGTTTTTCCAACTTGTTATTACTGATTGTGAATTTTTCCATATAGAATCAATATTGCATTTTCCATAACAAAAGGGAACATTATGTGATTTTTCAAGGTGTGGCTATGATCAATTACCTGGAGCATCTGATCACCCGTTAGATGGTGTATTTGGCCTCGGAAAAGGAAAATCGAGCATTGTTTCTCAACTTCGTGATCAAGGAGTCGTGAAAAATGTTATAGGCCACTGCTTAAACGGACGAGGAGGTTTTCTTTTCCTAGGAGACAGCGCTTATGGTTCTTCACGCATAACATGGACACAAATGTCACGTGAGCACACGTAAGTAGTTACAAATCCCATGAAAGAGAAAATAGAAATAAATGAAAATGGATCATTAATGACACAAACGAATACGCATAATTTCTTTTTTTCCCTTTTTTTCCTTACGTTTTTCTACTGTTTGTTGGAAATGCTCGACACTTATATAATAATTGGTGATTGCGTACAGAAAGCACTATGCGGCAGGATCAGCAGAGCTACGTTTTGGCGGGAAAAGCACGGGATTCAAGAATCTGAACATAATCTTCGACAGTGGGAGCTCTTACACGTACTTCAATTCTCAGATCTACCACTCGCTTCTTACTTTTGTAAGTTCGGAAGAATCCCGTGACATTTTATGTTTCGACTCTTGCCATATTTATGCAATTTTCAAAATTTGTTAACGTGTGCCTCTTATCTTTGCAGATACAGAAAGAACTAAATGGAAAGCCATTGACAGAGGCAAACGAGGATCACACACTCCCATTCTGCTGGAAAGGCAAGAAACCTTTCAAGAGCACACGTGACATTAGAAAATACTTCAAGTCCCTTTCATTCACATTCCCCAATGGTTGGAGGTCCAAATCTCAGTTTGAAATAACTCCCGAATCATATATTATCATATCCGTAAGATTTATCAACAACCTAACCCTTTTAATATCTCTCTTCCTCTGTCTTGTATGCAAGAAACTTGTGTAAGAACTTGGATTTGTGTTCTTGTAGACAAAGGGCAATGCGTGTTTGGGAATACTAAACGGCACCGATGTGGGATTGAACAGTTTCAACATGATTGGGGGTAATTAAGAATTTGTTTATTCTTGCCATTGAGTTTCACATTCATAAGTATATTAGTGGATGATGAATACATGATAATCCCACTTTGTACATGTTTCCTCTGGTACAGATATATCGATGCAGGATAAATTGTTGGTCTATGATAATGAGAAGCAACTAATTGGTTGGACTCCCGCCAATTGCGATCGGCCTCCAAGATCCTCGACCATATAGCTTCTAGTAACTTTTTTTTTTCCATTCTAATTACTTACACATAAAATATTAAACGTATGGGCATTGTTGAAAGGAATAAAATTTGTGTTTCCTTATTAGATTAGATGATTGTTTTAATGACTAGTCCAACTTCCCTAATGTAATCCAACTGCTTTACTCAATAGTCAATAGTCAATACTATAAAGATTTATTCTTCTGTATTATTTTTTCCCTTTTTTTTTAATGGCTGTGGAGAATGGTGATGAGTGAAGGTTTCAATAACCTCTAAGCAAATAGTGTGATGTGCATGCAATTTACTATACTAAATTTGGACTGAACCCACACTGCAAGTCTACATCCCATAGATCAAAAAGGCTTGTGCATGTACGAAGAGAACATGGAGGAGTAGTGATCATTATATTGCACTTGGGACCCAAACGGGTCATCCCCAAACGCATCCATGTAACCGAGCTGAAAATTGAGCGACTTTTCCAGGTCACTCCACTTTGGCTTGCTCTGGACCTCCTTACTATTATTACCACATGCAAACTCGCTACTCGGGTCTCTATGCAATTCTTGCATCGAGGCCGAGAGGTCAAAGTGTGGTATCATGTCACCGAACGAGCCGACGTTGGACTTCTGTTCCTCCTCGCTGTCTGAGAACTGCACGTCCGTCTCGTCCACATTATAGTGCTTCTCGATTGTCCCTTTCTTGTTGTATATACGGCACAAGACCCAATCATCGAGCTTCAACCACACGAAAGGTATCCAAAGTAAGTAACCGATGAAATTAAGTATAAGTTAAATGAATCTAATGTAAGGAAAGATGTGAAAATTTAGTACCCTGAGATTGTTGGCTTTTCCTGCAGATCGGTCGACGTTGGCCAGGCGGTATTCGTGCATAATCCAGTTGGTTTTGACTCCTCTTGGGGCTTTTCCAGCGTAAAAGACGAGAGCTTTCTTGATGCCAAGGGTGTTGGGCCTGCCAATGGGCTTATCGGCCCCAGTGGCCTTCCAGTAGCCGGTCCCTGCAGCCCGGTTTGGGCGCGAGTCCTTGGGATACTTCCGGTCTCTCGGGGAGAAGAAATACCACTCCTTTTCACCGTATAGTGCCATTTCTGTGATTCATAAAGTTGACCAATATGAAACTGAATTCTGTGTTGTTTGATTTTTTCTTTTTCTCCAATTCATAAATGATAAACTCAATTTGTAAACAGACAGACAAAAGAAGAAAAAGAGAATAGGAAAAGAGAAATCGTACGGGGAAGATCCCATGGATCGAAGTTGTAGAGATCGATATCAGCTATAACAGGGACAGGGATCTGCTCTCCCGCACACCGGCGGCATAGATAGTGCACCACGAGCTCATCGTCGGTGGGATGGAATCTGAAGCCCGCTGGCAAATTCAGCCGCTGATTCATTGGATTGTATGATTCGAGTTTATGCTGTGTTGTCGTGCACGAAAATAGAAGCTTGGGGCTTCAGTATATATACAAGACAAGACAGGCTAGGCCTCACACAAAGTTATCTCAGGTTATTAATGTATACAGCACGTGCTTAATTCAACAGTTTTTTTTTTTTTTCCAACTGCACTATTGTAAAACGTGCTTTCTCTTTTGTACTCTTGTCATGTGTATACAATGTATATACATGTTGGAGTACAGAGAGAGAGATGAGAGAGAGAGAGAGAGAGAGAGAGAGAGAGGATGGCGATTGGCGGGCGGGGTTGTGGTGTGTTTTAGTCATTATGTTAGGTAGGTATAATTATTTATCTAGCACAAAATTAACTACAAGGATGAAGGATCTAACGGTTTAAATACTAGCATAAAGATTATAAATCTATTTACTTTTCTTAATTAATATATATATATATATATATATATATATAGGGTTATGCTCCAAGTGAGAATGGTTCACAGGGAAAGAAATAAGAATAAATCATATCCATTAGATTGAATGATCTAATGGCTCCAAAAAAAATCAAAATTATATCTCATCAAGGACAATCAAGGACAATCTGGTAATTATCACATCCAACCAATTCACATGTGGGCCCACCTCACCACCCTCTCTCTCACATTCATTTCGCCCTCACATCTGCACCTTCACCCACACACCCCATCACACACACACACACGCACACACATCACACACAAAAAGTAAATTTGTTGGGACCTCCATGGCGGCGCCGTCGCCCAGATTCCCGCCGGATCTTAACCCAACCAACGTCCGCATCTGCAAGTCAGCCATGTGCCACCTCGTCGGAAGTCGTGAGTCCATGTTCGCCGCCGTTTAACTCGCGGTGTCCGACGTCCTTCTCCACCTCGAGGTTATGTCGCACACCAGCCGCCGTCTAAACCGTCGGCATTGGTCGTCGGCGTCTGAAAATTGATAGACGAGCTCGGCCGCCATTAATGGCGGTTTTGCAGCTAAAAGAAAAAATCACCATCTCCATCTACAATAATTTAATGGCGAACGGAAAAGGTATTATAGAAAGCGACGCCGGGCCGGAGGAGGGTGACGCGCAGACATGGAGGAGGGTGACGCGCAGACATGGAGGAGGGAGACGCGCAGACATGGTAGAAGAACATTTGGGAATTAGGGCTTTTTTTTTTTCAAAATTAGATTATCTTCAAGGACTTGGTTGCAATTTAGTAAATCTTATTATATTTCAATTTGGTTCAAGTTCCAACTTTGTAATTTATAGAAAGTCTAATAAATGCAAATTAATCATAAATAAAATACGCAATATATTGTGTATATTCATATTATAATATAACTGGGATGTGAGTGCACAGTAGTGTTATACAAAATGCACATTAATGACTGATACACTGCACAATAGTGGACGACACAGACTAAACTAAAATTTCAATTTAAATTTTTATAATTAAAATAATATTTTTTTAATATTTCTTACATATATATTAAATAAATAAATAAATAATAAATATATAAATATTATAAAATATTAAAATAGTATTGGACATAAAAAATCATTTCAATTATTTAAATTACACATTATAATAAAAAATTATATAAATATTAAATAAAAATATTAAATACTGAAGACATTTTTTTTTTTTTGTAAATAATGGCTTGCAATCGAATGCACATTAGTGTTAGTTAGATTGCACATTAGTGATTAACAGATTGCACTATAAATTTCGAAACAACCAGACAAAGTTTTATGTTCGAAATTTATATTTTGACTCGATTATTTGTTTTTCATTTTCAAAATTTTTTGTTATCTCGATTCAATATCAGCTTTATTGTTTTAGATAACCGAACGATAGAATTGCATAAATAAATATTAATTTGTTATATATATTTTTATGTCTTTACAACAAAAATAATAAATAAAAGAATATTAAATAAACATATTAAAAATAATAAATATATATTCATGCCATAAATTATAAAATTATTTGGATTATTTAGCTTAATTTAGATAGCCGATCAAATAAACCCATTAATTAGGGCTTTAGTTTGGTTTGGGCAAAAAAATTATTAAAAATACTACATTTCGAGTGCACATTATTGGTAGATATGTTGCACATTAATGATTGTCAAATTGCACTTTATCGACAAAATCGACCGAACTTAATTTGTTGAAAATGCATGCGTAGACGATAGTGTTAGACAAATTGCACAATAATGACTATCATATTGCACAAATAGTGACCAAAACTGAACAAATTAAAATTTCAATTTGAAATTTTTTATTTCAGTTTGATTATCCATTTTTCGCTATCAAAATATCATTTATTTCGAGTCGAAGTCTTCTTTTTTTTGGGTTTTTTAATAGCCAAACTAACTTAACTATATAAAATATTATACATATATATATTTCTTAAAATTATATTTTTTTATTCATCAATAACCAAAGTCTACGCTAGTAAAATATAACTATATAAAATTCCATATTATTATTATTATTTTTATTATTATTATTTCAATACAGTTTTATTTTGAGTTCCGACGAAAGTTCGATGGATTTGGTTAACTTATCAATATTGTGCAATCTAACGATTAATATTGTGTACTTTTATTTTTTTAATATTTACCAATTTAACACATGAACTCAATTGACATAGACTTATTTTTTCTTAATTTGCAAACAGACCCCTATAAGATATCTAATTTCCAAACACAATGCCCAATCTCAAACACACGCAGGCCACAACACCATCACCGCCTTCACTAGAACAGTCCGCCGGTGACTGCTGGAAACTTGTCGGTGACCATCAATCGGTCCCACCCGGACTGAAATCGAACACAACTCAAATCGATTCACCGAAATATGAATTTAGGTGATTATAATTGGTGCATAATTTAGGTATTTACAATTCGTGGAGAAGACGAGCGGCGGAGGAAGCAAACTATCCGTGATGGCTATTGCAATTGCGAATCCCGGCGACGAGATTCAGATGCGGAAGAATCGTCGGAAAAAAAGCTTGTTCGACGACGACGCAGAGTTCCATGGTTGATGTCGTGACGCCGAGGAGGGGATGACGTAGACGTGGGCCGACGTTGTTGTGCTATAGTGGGTTGCGTGGTTCCGCCATCAACCGCCGCCGTGAGGTTGCGTGAGCACCGGTGCGGGAGAGAGAGATTGACGCGAGAGAAAGAGAGATACAAAGATTAGAGAAAGAGAACAATGAAAGAGGGATGAGTCTGTACAATATTGGTGGTGGGGCCCATTGTCATGTGTGATAAATGAGTAAAGTCTATATTGCCCTTAATTATTGGTCAAATATGTATATTTGACCACAATGTATGTTATTTTACCATAATGCCATTAATGATTGACTAATTTTTGACTTCATCATAACCATTGATATGATTGATCTCATGGTACAGATTTATTCTTATTTCTTTCCCTAAGTACCATTCTCATATGATCCTAAATATATATATATATATATATATATAAAGGTTTGATTATTTTTTAAATAGTAACTATTTCTCTAAAAAAATCTATTTACTATTTTTGGAAATTAGTTTAACAATTTATGGTATATTTCAAATAATCACTTATGGAAATTACAGCTCATAATTTAAAGAAATAACTAAGTCATATAAATATGCATTTTTAAGATACCTTAATTACTCAAATTAATTTAACAATTTATGGTATATTTCAAATAGTTACTTAGGGTAAATTCATTTTTAGAATGCCTTAATTACACAAATCATGTGAATTGGTTGATTACCAAGTATGCAGAATTTCGGCTGCAATATCAATTATGTGTTTTAATAAAAAAAATTCCAACTAAATTGTACAATTTATTGTTTAATAAGTGTTTTCTATTTTTCGTGCAATTCTTTTTTGAAATATATTTTTAATATACCTTAATTACACAAATGGTGTAAATCCGACTGATTTATTCAATCTATAAATAATTACTACAATTATGGAAATATCGACAACAATAATTAATTATGCAGTTTGCAAAAACTTTTCTAAAAAAATTGTGTTAATGACAATTTTTATTTATATATTATTTAATAAATGCCATTCATTTTTTTGTGTATTTAATTGCTCAAATCATTGATAATTAAGAAAATAATTAGATAATAAAAATTTAAAGATACCTTAATTACGTAGATCGTGTAAGTTCGGTTGATTTATTTAAATTATAATTTCTTATAAAATTATTCTAAAATAATTGTGTTAATGGCAGTTTTTGTTTAATTATTTTAATAACTATTTTTTGTATTTTATTATATTTTTATCTATAATAAACGTATCTTGATTTTGTTTTGTACGTTGGATAATTAATTTCGTGGTTAAACTGAATATCACTTTTTATATGTTATGGATAATGTATGAAATCGAATTATTTGGTATACTATATATCGATCCGATATACCCGCTTATGGTAATAAATGGTATCTCAATGTTTTTTTTTTTTTTTTTATATTGCTAAGCATTTTACTCGATATTAATGAAAGAAAAACTTGTAATACTATGGTCGATTCTTTGTAAATGTGCATGGAACATATCCAATTATTTGGTGCGTGTGTGTGTTTGTGGATAATCACATTGTAGTCAACTCAGATTTCTGAATAAAAATTTAAATGAATCTATTTTCTAAATGAATATACTGTAACTTATTATCAGTTACTTGCACCGTACGAGTCGTGTACTAATTTTAAATGGACGTGTTTTATGTAATTTTGCACAATTCAAATCTCATATAACATTTTCAGTAAATTAATATAGGTAAATTGTATTACATATTGATTCCATATTTCTAATTATAAATATTATTTAATGAGCATTTGTAATTTATAAATATTAATGAATATTTCTTACACGTGCACCGCACGGGATCATACTAATCTATTAATATATAATAAGGATTAACATAATTAACTTTTAGAAACTCTTTCCCGCCATTAGCATTAAATACAC